GTGTGATATTCTTCCTTGCTCCATTCATAGATGCTGACTTCCCCTCTGCCCGGTGGGTGCTCTGCCCGGTGGGTGCTCTTCCCGCCCCTGCACCACCCTCGCCCAAACCCCATTCCACCCCTTCCCCCAAGTCCCCACCCCTGCCCTGCCTCTTCTCCACCTCCTCTCCTGAGCGCGCCGCATCCCCGCTCCTTCCCCTCCCTCCCAGAAAGTCCTAAGCGTTGCCAAACAGCTGTTAGGTGGTGGGTGGGAAGCGCTGGGAGGGGGAGGAGCGGGGACGTGACGCGCTTGGGGGAGAAGGAGGCGAGGACGGGGTTGGGGGAGTTTGGCTGCCGGTGGGTGCAGAGCACCCACTAATTTTTCCCCGGAGCACCCACGGAGTCGGCGCTTATGGTTATGAGAGAACCTCTAATCATGAAGAAGTTGTGGGCATTTCATATGGTCTGTGATTTCTCAGTCCCACAGTTCACTACTCCAAACTAACTATTACATTTTAAATGGCAAAGCAATGAGGCCCTTTAGAGCATTTCTGGCTGTTGTTTGAAAACAAATCTTCAACAAGGCACCATTTCCTATTGTAGACAGGGCCAAAGGCAGCTCCCCATGACTGTCAAGGAGTGATTACACTTCCTGGGTCAGATCCTCAGCTGAAGTCAACAGAATGACACTGATTTAAACCAATTAAGTGAGAGAGGGCTGTGGGCCTCATGTCTACGCCCAGAAGATGATTTCTGACTGGTTTACAGGAGGAGTGGGACACGTCTTTTCTGGATTAAGAGTAGAGTATGATCTATGGGGCTGTCAGCTGACAGGTCTTGTAATACCTTTTTCCTGAAGAGGAGACCTAAGGCCAGAGTACAAAGCAGAAAGAAGAGACCATCAGAAACTGGAAAGGAATGGTAGGTGGTAAGAGGCCACAAGCTTTCCCCCCTCCAAGGAGACAACAGAACAAGTAGGAAGGAGTCAGGGTTTGTTATGGTCAGAAAAATGTGTGGAAAGATAGTCACAAAGCCTGAGACAGGACCTGGAAGATTCTGGTAATGGTAAGTCAGATAAGAATCCAGCCTTTTTTTCTGAATCAAACATCTGAACCTTTTCATGTCCAGTTACTCCAAATACCATGTATGAGTCATCACTTTATGAATATATCTTGAAAAACCAAGTGATTTTAGAATATTTGTTATTTTCGGTTCTGTATAGCAATATTATTAAGGATATATATAATGATAAACTGTGACTCCATTCTAATCCACTCATTACTTTTTCATGCATAAATCTAATGTACGAAAAAAATCATTGACATGTTTTTATTTTTCTATTATTTTCTCCCACAAGAATTAGAAAGTACATTTCTTGTGTTATTTAGTAAGGACATTGTAGGTTTTATGTGGGTGTGTACCAGCATTAAGGATGTGTGAGTAATAAAATCCTTATAACATTTGGGTACCATCTTTTATAATAACATTTCAAGAAGGCAGTACCTATGAATCAAACATTATAATGTGATGCATAACAATTTACCTGTGCTGGAAAACATCTACATATTTAAGTGTAAATCTAGCAGAAAGCAAGGTGAATGTAGTGTAATGCATGAATCATCTATGGCAAAGGGTCTTATGGCCTTTGGGAAGAACATGGTCAAACTCCAGAATTCATTTGGCTAGTAACAGAAACTTTTTACGGCCTTTTGCAGCTATAGAAAAAAAGAGATGGCTCAAAAATAATGACTGTTAAATATCTAAGTTCCCTTTCTTTTTCCACAGAAATGTATGGATTTTAAGAAGGGAAAGAAATTGATGTGGAAAGTAGGGAAAAAAAAGATTAACTAGAAACAAAATAATCTCATAAATATTCGTTTAAATTGTGTATCTGTGTATATATGTGGGGTTGTGTGTGTCTTTCTAAAAAGATATCTGGATTCTCTGAAGTATCTTACTCTCTGTTCCCTGTGAATATGGGATTGCCATAAAGAGTGCACCCCATCCTTATTATCAAGTTCTTTGTACAGTCTCTCTCATTAAAAGACTACAGTATCTTGGCCCACGTACTTTAAACTCGTTCATTCACCCTGAATGTGAAAACGTCTCCTCACAATGCTAAAATCTATTAGCTTACAAGAATGCAGTTAAAATGAGTGGGGTTGAGGCATGGTGGGGAAAAGAGAGACTGAGTTTTCACTGAATACCCAGTTTGTACCATTGTAATCAAATTTGGGGGAGAGCGAGTGGGGATTGAAATCAGGATGACTATTTAAACATTTCTCAATTGTTCAGCTAGACAAGTAAATAAATTGTTTAGCCACTTCTTCCCTTCAAGCACAGCTAATTCTAAATGACACAGAACAAACATGATGTTCAAATGGACCATTTGCCTTACCTGTACCATTGTTTCCAGTGGTCTGAATTGCGGCTTCAGGCCCCATAGTGTCATATTCCTCCTTCATTTCTTCTGCAAAATAAGCACATGCATTTTTAGCATTTGCAAATTATTGAACAGCTCACAAAGCTAGCAAGCACCCTGCAGTAACAAGGAAGATTCTTTTAAAGGAAACAGAGAAAAGGCCTGTTCTAAGCCTCTATACAATGGCTTTGTTCTTGCAATTGAATGAATTCAATCATGCTAACTGGACAAGAACTTATTTACTTTAAACATTACAGCAAGTGGTGAAAACCAGAGGTATTTATTTGGGCCAAATGAAGGCCTTTTTCTGATATCAAATCCAATAAGCAGTGCGGTGGAAAAAAGCTTCTTATTTTTAATAATCAGTCAACTGCAAGTTAATTATTTTTACCTGGGAAGAACAGGCATTTTACATGAAGTAATGGTAAATACAGAAGAAAGGACAGCAGATCCATCTATTAAGATTATTATCATACACCTGCTATTTGATTTATCATCCTCATTTTAACTATATAGACTTGGAGTGAGGAGTGTATTAATATCAGAGGGTGCAAAAATTTCTAAATTTTAAACTGTGGACAGTTCGATTATGTCTGCTTAATTTGTCTGAGCCTCCTTTGCATTTGCAAAGGATAGATTTGTGCCCCAAAATTGGATTATTTCACATGAAAATTAGTACTTATTATACAGAATTATCTGTCAATCCATCTATTTGTTATGGACCAATTTGCTTTTGGTGAAGTTGCTGGGGTGGAAGGTATTTTAAAATAGGGTTTATAAAGAGGAGCTCGCTTCAGCCTACTAATGGATAGAATATCTTTTTGAGCTATTTATCCATCTAACGTAGATATTTCTAAGATGCCTATCACCTTGATTTCTTACTAATGATTTGTTAGTACAGATGCAACAGGTATTCACACAAAGTTGGTGGACACAATTTAGGTGTCCACATTTGAAAATCTGGCCCTCAAAATGATTTCCACAGGCAAAATCAAATACACACAATTCTCTCTCTCTTATTCCTTTCCACTTTCTGCCAATTCCCTTCCTTTTCCTTTTCCATATGCACAAATATATAATCTATTTCTTTCATTTTATATGCAAACACAACAGTACTTAGGATTTGAGATTTAAATAGAGGGCCTGATAATTTTATATTTAGCTGGATTTGTAAGAAATGAAATCTAGAACAGCATCCAGAAGTGGTTCAACAACAACAACAACAACAACAAAGAGTTTTCTGCAAATGATCATGAGCCTGTGATAAATTGGGGAGAGGGAGGTTGGTTAGCAAATCAAATGACAGAGTATCAAGGAGTATCAAAACACTATTCAAATTCTTATTGATACATGAAACATAAAACTTTTTATTCCTCATTTTTGTGATACAATTTTTGATGACAGAAAGTGGCTCAACATTAATCTAATGATAATGATTTGACTGAAGTCCGGGTGAATAGTTTAAACAGAACACATTCTTAGTTCATTCCTAAATTTGCAATCTTGTAGTATTTTTCAGATATCACATTCTATGAATAATTAGTTGGTAGAATAACAGGTTCTAATTGTATCATTCTAATCAAAACTAAAGCACAAAATGACTTCATTCAGAGCTTTACAATCAGTGTACAATGCTGAAGTATAAATATATATGTTTATGGCTTTGAAGATTAAAAAATATAATGAAAGCCCTTACGTTCAAATATGCAGGTACAAACAGATGCTAAATTTGTACAAAAGCATATAATTTGCAGACCAGATGAAAAATATTTGTTTAAACTGTACAACAGGCAAGCCAGGCTTGATTCTTTTCCCAGATCTGGCCTTCTGCCTTCTCTGGGGAACATTTTCACAGGGACATATTGCATCCAGAACATTTAGGAGTTCAATATGCACTAATAAAATGTTGTCAATTGTGATAA